CTGTCTGTTTGTCTCATCAGGGTCGAGCAGTATTCAAGCACCTGTTGTGGGCAGGGCAGGAACCTGCAGGTGCTGGGAACACCATGGTAACTAAGACAGTGAGGGCCCAAAACAGAGCAAACGGCCTTATTGGCTTGATGGGGTGGGACAGAAGATGACTTCCTTGAGCTGAGGACTGAGGTCTCAATGAGGCTTACTTTTCAGCAAGAGTGAGGAGGAGGAGTTGCGGGTAGCCAGTTCTCCCGGGGCCCTGGTGCTGCTCGGTGCTGGGAGGAGGGGGCCGACATGGCCGGCGTGGTGTCACCCAGGGCCTTGGACCACAGTGAGGAGTCCTCTCAGTGAGCTGTCACCAGATCTTAATAACTGCTTGGCCAGTCCCAGGTCTGGGAGAATCGAAGATTTGGAGAGCATTGTTTTACTAATCCACCTCGCCAGCTGCCACCTACTTTCAAGAAGCAGGATTAGGCCAGTCATGTATGGGAAACTGTATAGGCTGTTGCATTCTTCCCCCGGCAGCGGGGAGAGGCCTCTGCCCTCTGTTCAGAGTACTTTCTCTGGGCCCGATGCTCCCAAAGCTGGGGCAAAGCCACCACGTTTAGATGGGCCAGAATCCAGCGGCTGGGGGCTGCACGGCTGTGGCTGCGGTCGGACACTGGACCTTTGAGCGGGCTTTGTGGGGCTGGCTCCAGGAGCGACCGATGAAGTGTTGTTGGCTCTAAATAAAACTCCATTCTCTCTCGGCCGGGATCTGGTACTGTTCTGCTGAGCAAGTCCTCCCTGCTCAAACGGCAGCTTAGCCCACGTCATGGAGATGTATTGTTTCTGTTTCCTTCCTCTGCTCCAGTCATAGTTTCTGAGTGGCTGGACTTCTGTATTCTCTACAGGGGGAACCACATTCCAGGTTCTGCAGTCCCTGAGAACAAGGCCCCTGTTGTATCTGCCGCATCCTTATGGGTCTTGGACCCAAATGATTAAGGAACCAAAATTGGGCAGGTCCTGATCATTGTTCTCCAGGGCCACCCCCTGGCCTGCTGCCGCCACTTCATGCCCTGGCGCCCTAGTCACTGAGGCTTTAGGCTCAGGGGGGAGCCTGGCGAGGTTAGAGGAGCACCGACAGTCGGGAGGAGGGGCCTCGCCTCAGAGTTTATGTCTTAGACCAGCTCAGCACTTGTCCTGCCCTTCCCGTGTTCTCAGTCGGCTTCTTCAGAAGCTGTGCATTTGTTTTGTTTTTCTTGGAGTCTTACGCAGACTTGAACTAGACAGCTGAAGAGGCTTACCTGGTCTTTTCTCCTCGGAGCTGCTAGGTGAGATGCTTTGTTTTCACCTTCCTAGTGAACCGGAGGGAAAGCCCTTGGCCCACCGCATCTGAGGGCCATGCGCGCCTGCGTCCAGGCCTGTCCCAGTCTCTGGGCTGTGGGTTCCTTGCCTCCCAGCTGACTCAGACACGTGTCTGGTACGAGGTCTCCTGGCTGAGTTCGTGACTTTGACCAGCCGAGACTATTCCCCTGCAGGTCAGGGGGACAGATTCATACAAGTCAAGACAGGGACCCTCCTGTGCATTCCAGAACAGCACCGTGGGAGAAGAACAGAACAGTGGTTTCTTGTTGCTTTGTACTTGTATCCTCCTAACGGCTGCCTTCCGGCCTCCTTAAGGGCACAGAGAGAACCCGTGGTGGGTTTATAACCGTTGTCTTGGACAACTGGCAGTTTAATAATGTGAACCTTCCGTCACTCTCCTTAGCTCTGTCATATTAAATACTTCATCAAATGTTTTTTCATGGCTGCCTTCCAAAATAACTATCATGGATGCTTGGTTCATTTTGTACTGAGTTCCTGGTATCTGAGGCATGACTGGTAGGAGGGTGTCTGTCTAGGTCTTCTTCTCGGGTGTGGACCGCCCCCGCCCCCAGGACTTTGTCTCCCCCTGAGGCTACCTTTATTGGATGAAATGTACCTTGCTGGACAGTTGAGGGGAAATAACCCAGCAAGCGTCTTTGGGGAATTTGACAGCCATCCTCCATCATCTCAGCAGACCCCCCAACTCTGCTTCCTTGCTGCTGTTCTTCAGCATCGTTTGAGGTCCTGGGTTCATCCCCCTTTGAAGAACACTGGTGTTTGGCTCCACAGGCCCTTTGGTGTGGGGCATAACTCAGCATCCTTGTGCTCCGGCAGGATGTGGGGTTAAATGTTTTTGGATCCAAAAGAACCTGGGTTGTTGGCCTTCATCTTGGGGGGCATCTTGGCCTGGAGCTCAGCAGGCTCACAGCCCAGCTTATTCATGTCAGAGGACGGAAGAATTATATTCTAAAACCTAACAAGGTGTGGCCACCAGGAGGCACAGGTTCCCATTGTTTCATTGTCGGGGCCTAGGAGTCCCGGTCATGGGTAGTCGTGACAGGGAGGGATCCGTACAACCACAGATTCCAAGGTCTTTCCCGGAGAACTTTGTGCAAAAGTATATGGCTTCCCGTCCGGGGTGGCTCATTTATATTTTCGGTTTATAGGATTCTCTTAAGGCAAAAGAGTCTTCTTGCACTTAGAGTTGGGTCCATGGTTCATAGGCGTTGACACTCTGCTTGAGGGATCATGGAGCTGAATTCTGCTGCAGGGGAGGGGCTGTTCCTGGGGATGGCGGGTTTGGGGTTGAGCAGGAGTCCATAGCTCCATGGGGCTCCGGGGGCACCCTGGACACGCCCCACCCGGGGGTGTGCGCGTGTGTACCCACGCAGTGCTGTAAGAGTGAAAAAGCAAAGAGTAGACCAGTTGGCAAATTGAAACCAACTATCAACTTTATCACTTTTTGTGTTTGTGTAGAAAGATTAGTTTGAAAGAATGAGTAACCAAGCCAAAGATGGAAAGAAGGGAGAACACCTTCCTGTTGGTGATTTTTGCCCCAGCATTGCCTTTCTCCCTGAGATGTGACTGAACACCCCTAGCTAAGCCAGGCAAGGGCCTTGTGAAATGCAGGAATCCCCGCCCCTCCCACCCTGACCCCTCCTGTCTTGGGGGTGGGGGCCGCACACAGGCTGCTGGAGGCCCCAGGGTGGCTCACAGCCTTTCACCCAGCCCAAGGAACCTGCAGGTGAACAAGTATTTTCCCTATAGAAGAGACACTGTGTTTGGTGACCAACTTCCTGTGCCTCTGGAATAGTGGACCCTGTGGAATTCCCACGTTGCTGTCTTGCCTCCCTCCTCAGGCCAGCTGAGGGGCTGGTGCCCTGTGGTGCTTTGGGAAGGTTCCCCAGGCAGCCTTTGAATGGTTAAGGGTCAGTCCTTGGAATACTGGTCGGGGGAGGGGAGGTAGGATGTACCCAACTAATGTTTTCCCACAGTTAGCACCCAGAAAGCTGTCCCCTAGAGGGAAAATTTAAGGACGTTTTCCAACCCCACGTTTTGTTGCTGCCACGCTATTTAACATTGGTTCCTTGGGAGTCACTGCTACAAAGGGGTTGTTGTGGGGCCCCTGGAGACGGGCGTGCCCCGTAAAGCAGCTGGTTGATGACCAGCCTGGATTGGCCGTGGCAGTCCTCCAGGCTCGCCTCCCAAGCCCTCCGCTCCCTCGCACAGGCCTGCCTCCTCTTTGCCCACCTGATGGGCAGGGGGCGGGTGGCTGGGGGAGACCGGTTGCTAAGCAGCCTGGCCTAGGACGTCACGCCCGTCCAGGTCGAATGAATGGCTGCAGTGTTCAGAAGAGTGAGGGGTTTGGGCCTGTCCCAGAATCAGGAGGGACTTTTTGGGGAAGGACATTAAGAACCACTACTCTGCTCTTGGCCAGGAGCCATGGCACGGGAGGGCTTTCGATGGCCTCCTGGCACCTTCTTTTCTGAAATGTTACTTGGTATAATCGTAAGTGGAGCACACAAGAGCTCTGCAGCTGTGGCCAGGTGCCCATTTTCCAGAGTTGTTCCTGTCTTGTCTGCCCCCGCCCCTGCCAACCAAAGGGAAAAGAAAGGAGATAACAGCTTCCTGTGAGCCCAGCTTCTGCCACTTTGATCCTTAGCCTGTGGTGGCCCTTGAGAGCCCTGAGTGGGCTGTGTGTGAGGGGCCGGGTTTTCCCCGAGATGGGTGACACAGGTATGTTGTTGCCAGCGGCCATCTGGGACAGTGGAAGCAAGGGGAGGCCTTCCTCCCTCCCTGTGTCCAGGCTTGCGACGGGGGCTGGGACCGTAGCCTTCTCCAGGTGGCTTCGGTTTAGATGAAGCCTGTACTCTGAGCAGGGAAATATAGAGCGAGTCCAGAAGAATGCCTGATAAGAAAGCTTTGCCCAGAAATTTCTGCTCTCGGCCAGCCTGAAGGACACACAGAAGTGGTGTTGCGGGGCGGAAGTTTGCGTTAAGGATCAGGGAGAGCTTTTTCTTTGGAGCGAGAGAAAGCCAATGTAAAGAGTCGAGAGGTGAGCCCAGGAGAGCCAGGAGAGAAGCCGCCCCTGTGCCAGGACCTTACTGGGGCCCGGGTCAGTCACTTATTTAAAGGCCCAGCACATGCCTGCCCCAGGGTTCCACGAGCTTTCCCCTGACGATACACTCTCCCGTTTCTGCTTAAACTGAAAGCGAGAACAATCTCTTGGCAACAGAGACTTTTGTCTCTTGGAATTCTCATGTTGGGAAGTTGCCTTCTCTTGCTTCCTTGGTGCCAAGTAGGGGCGACGTGATCAGGGATGGCTGACCAGCCCCCAGGGGAGACGGTGGGCAGGGTCCAGGCATCCAGGCGACGGAGGCTGGTGTCTGCTCTCCTCAGCATTGGTGGATGTTGGTTCCTGCTGGAGGCCATGGAGGAGAGACTGAAGCAGGCATCTGAGCGTCCTGGCCGCTCTGATGACGGAGGGGGCTGAGGTGGCTCCGGGGTCCCAGAAGGCCCCCAAAGCACCAGCTCGCTCTTAGGTTCCTTGTATCACTTGCACCTTTTCTCCTCCCTTAAAATCCTGTGTGGTTTCAGTGGAGAGAGGAGCTGTGGGTCAGGAGTCCTGGACTTACCTCCTTGTATTTGTTTCTCTTTTGCAGGATAACCCAGAAGTAGAAAAGCGAGATCCTCAGGAATTAGTTGGTGAGTACCCCGGGGGGGGGGGGGTCTTGGGGGCAGATGTCTGAGCCTTGCCCAGAGTGACCTGGCTTCCCACCATGCCCGGGCCTGCCCCCGCGTGGGGCTTCTCTCTGCTTCAGCCAAGGCCGCCGTTCTGCTGACAGCCTTCTCTTCATGTGCGCTCTCGGGGCCTTTGACATTGCTAAGATGTCTGAGTAGGACACCCAGGGAACAATTCTTCTTTGAAAACCATATTCATGGTGCGTTTCATTGGGCTTCGGTCAGTTGCCAGTGTTGTCAGGATGGATTTGGGGCCTCCTCCAGCTGGGAGCTCATTCCCCTTGTGCCCTAGGCCTGTCCTCTGTCCTTGAACGCCTCCGCCCCACTTTGCTGGCATACTCATGTAGTCAAGGAGCAAATGTGGCCTCTGCTGGCACTTTGTTCTGTCCCCAGGAGGGAACATGCCTCACAGCCCCAGAGTCTAGGATACTTTGTGACTTAGGAGGGCGGGGCAGTCATGTTTCTGAAAAATGGCACACCTGTCATCCCAGTCCTGTGCTAGCCCCAGCCTCCTGATCCTTTTTAGAAAGTCCCTCAACTCTGACAGTTTGGTTGTGGGCTTTGTAAACAGCTCTTCCAAAGCCTGTCCCAACCTCATGGAAAGGGTGACCCTCCCTCTCTGTGGTGACTGTGACCATCTTTCCCTGCCTGCTGTGTTAACCTTCACAAAGCGGAGGTCCTGCTGCCTCGGGGTTGCCACAACTGCGGCCTGCAAAAGCCACTCCCACTCTTCCAGATGGAGGCTTTGTGGCTTGCAGCCCCTTGGACCTGTCCCATTTTTGGACGGGATCCTCTAAAGGGTTACAGGATGTGGGGACCCATTCTGGTTTCCTAACTAAAAGAACTGAAAGTTGTTCCATTACTTTTGTTTGCTGAGGAAGGCTTGGGTAGGAATGTACCACGATGACTAGCCCAGGCCCTCAGCAGGATTCTGCCTTTATCCCTGAGTGAGTCTTTAAAATCCTATAAAAACCAGAATTTTTCTAGACCTTAGTGTTCACTCCTTAGAAAATGGCGCTCAGTGGATGCGCCCCTTGGCTTTGCAGACAGAGGAAGCAGAGTGTGGCTTCCTTCGAGTGGGTAATCCACAGGGGTAGGTATGGACCAGAGCCTCGGTCTCCCATTCCCTCCCCGCCTCGCCAGGCCCTGCATGTACTCCCAAGAAACTAGGGGTGGGGGTGGTTGTAGGTCTGCAAACAGCCTGCCTGGGAGCCCGCTGCTGTGCTCAAGGCCACGGTGTCTGGCAGGCTGTGGGATGGGGGCACATCAGCCATCTCCACCACGACTTCTTCTTCCCCAGCTTCCACCTGCTCTCTCCTTGCCACTTTGTGCCATTAGATGAGCTTTGCCACATCCATATAGTCCTGGTGACCCCCGTCACAGTCACAGTGTAAGACACATCTGTCACTCCGGGGGCGCCGGCTGGCTCAGTTTGTGGAGACTGTGACTGTTGATCTCGGCGTCACGAGTTCAAGCCCCACATTAGGCCTAGAGCTAACTTAAAGAGAAATAAATGTTTAAAACAAAATTTTTTTTTTCCCATCACTCCAGAATGTTCCCCATACCCCTCTCCTTGTAGACCGTTTCCTCCCTTGGCCTCAGGCAAGCAGTGATCTATTTTTCTCACTACAGTTTTGCCTTTTTTTAGAATTTCATAAAGAGCAGGATTTCTCAGCCTTGGCACTCTTGCCATTTTGGGCTGGAGCATTCCTTGTCGTGGGGGCCTGGCGTGTGTTTGACACCGTGTTTTAGCATATCCTCAGTCTTCAGGATGCCCCTAGCACTCCCTTCCCCCTGCCAGATGTGACAGGGAAAAATGTTTCTAGACATGTCCCAGATGTCCCCGTGAGGGCTGGGGGAACGTAATTGCCCCCCCCCCCAGTTGAGAACCACAGATAGAAATGAAATGACCATCTTGTTGTTTGTCTGGCTTCTTTCACTCACCATGTGTTTGAGATTCTTCCGTGTTACTGGGCATATCCGTAGTTCCATTTTACTTCTAAGTACGTTCTTTCACAGTAGGGTTACCCCCATAGTTTTTTCTCTGTTCACCCCAGTAGGTCTTGAAGCCTCATCGTCCTGATTCCTCCTACCGATCTTCAGTGACGAGGTGATAGTTGAGCTCAGTCTGCACTCAGCTCCTTCGTTAATACCTCTGGAGATGGGACTCTCAGGTTGCTCTCCCGGTATGGGAAGGATTTTCATATGTGTAGACATATGTGTAGCCCCAGGTTTAATGGAGCAAATGAAAGCGGAGAAGCTGACTCACAGGTCTCTCCAACACCGTGGCCACTTTGCAGAGCCGAGCACATATGCCCTCCAGGTGCCCCACTGGCGCCCCGTGCTCATGCCTGGAACAATGGCCTGGGGTGGTAATCGGTTGGGTTCTCCGTGTCCCTAGTGAAGTAGAGAGCACTGCACTGCTTCCTGCTCCCAGCCCCACAGTACCCCCCCCCCGGCACTCCTTGCTCCCCACCATTACGTAAGCTCGACCAACGAGCCGCTCCTGCTCAGATTCACACCGGGTAGCTATGGATACCAGGGCTGTTTCCTGGCTTGGCTGTGCACAGGGGTGAATCACCAAGGTAGACTTCTGAGTACAGCTGCCCTTCTAGAATGCCCCAGCACACCCAAGAGCAGCCATGGTGCCTGGAGCTGCCCTAAGGGCCTGGACACATTTCTCAACGGATTTCCTGGGAAAATGGTTTGAGGCTTTGTGGCTGCTCAAATGACCATATATGCAGGTTTGAGGTCCTTCTACTTGAGATCGTGCTGGGACTTAGGAAAGAGAATCCCTGAAAGATTGCTCCTGGAAGCTGTGCAGAATTTTTTACCTAATTTTCTAGCTGTCCCTTCACTTGCCAGTTACTTCATAGGAATGCTTTTGTGCCTAACCCGGGAGCTCAGGAGGGGCTCCCCCCCACCCCCAGTCATACTGTATAGCACTTGAGCCCTAGTGTGGTTGGGTTGCCGTGGCAACGGTGTCACACCCTGTTCTTCCAAAAGGCTTTCCTGGCAAATGCCAAAGGGCGTTCTTTGTCCGTGCTGCACACACACATACACACACACACTCTCTCTCTCTCTCCCTCCCTCTCCCACCCCCCCACCCCCAGGGAAGAGCTTCACCCTTCTCATTTGTGCCCAAAGCATGCCAGGGCCCTCCTTGTTTTTGCCCTCTAGAAATACCGAGGACAGCTCGCCCCGGCCAATTCCGCTCTCAGCTGGCCTCTGCATCCTGCTTGAGCCTCTGGCCGAGAACCCCAGCCCCTCCCAGGGCTGAAAAGAAGGGGGAAGTCGGGAGGAGACTTGAACTCCAGCCAGATCTTGCTTCAGGACTCAGGAGGCAGAAGGGAAAGGCCGGGCAAAGAGGAGCACGTAGTCCCTTGGTGGAAACTGCTCCTGGGCTGCACTCATGTCCCAGGTCCACAGCAGGGTAGGTCACCCCATCCCGGTCTTGCCCTCACCCAAAATGGCTGGCCTAGCGCTCTGTTGTCAGGGCGAATCCAGTGAGAACCCCGCTGCCGACCGGAGGCGTTGGCACGTGTAGCGTGTTGAGACTCTGCCCCAGCCTCGGGCTTAGCAGTGTGTGCAGGCCTGTTCTGCAGCAACTGAGACTGGCAGAGCCCACAGAGCCATGCCCTCAGCCCTGCTCAGCACTGAACTGCTTATACCAATAGTGGCGCTCTGAGCGGAGATCAAAGTACCTTATCTGCTAAGAAAAATATTAACCCGGCGCTGGGAGAAAAGAAGGCAAAGGCTGTGCTAGCTAGGCTCTCACCAGCCCGTCCGGACAGCCACTCAGGGCTAAGAGGTAGTCTGGCCCAGGGCCTGGCACACAGTGGGTACCCAGCAGCTGCTTGCTGGGTGTTATTGGTGCTGGTTTGTTCATTCTTTCCCTTCATCCTGCCCCACCCCACTCCGCCTGCCGTTTGCTCATTGTATGGCCCTTTTCATGAGAGAACGTTTTAAAGAGCACAGACAGAATCTTACAACAAATGGTGCATTGTCCGATCCCGAGCACATTCTGCAGGCCCAGGGTGGCCAGAGGCTATGGGGAAGGGACAGAGCGGGCAACTTGGGTGGGCAGTGGCAGATCTCCGAGGGAATTATCCCTTGGGAGTTGTGGTTCTTCACGTCAGAATCAGGCCTTTTGTTCCCAAGAATGAGGTGGGCCAACGGAGGGTTGATTGGTTTATTTTCAAAAGACTAAACTAATAACAGGTAATTTCTTGTAAAACGTCATTTATGCACCAGGCAGTTTTGAATGTTTTGAGTCCTAGAGGAACTCTGAACTTCTCCTCTATCTTGGGCAAGAGCTTCCAGAATCCTGGGAGGTGTTAAAGGAACATAGCCAGTGGGCGGTTTGGAGCTGGCTCACACTGTGAACCAGTGGTGCTCCCCTCTTCCTGGGCCTGGGTCCAGCAACAAGAGCATCAGTAACCCAGAAACTGGCAGGTGCTGAAGCTCAAAGCTCCCTCCCCTTCTCCCAGCGGGTTGTTAGACGTTTACCAGCAAACCCTGGACAGACCTTTTCCTGAAAAGTTCACTTCTAGGACGTGGTTTTATGCATTCTTCATGCCTGTCCCCTCTGCCTGAACTTCTCTTCCCCCGTGTTGGCACACGCTGGCTCCTTCTGGTCATTCGATCTCAACTCAGATGACAGAGAAGCCACTCTGAACACCACTGTACTGTTTCACAGCCTTTCTCTCTCCCTGAAAAAGTCGTATGTGCCTTTTTTTTCCTAACCATGTTTAGCCCCCATCCTACACCCGCCCCCCGCCCCCCACCACATACATCCACAGAGAATTCTTTCTATTCTCTCACAGCCTCCTTTTCTGAAAGAGTCCGGAACATGTCACCCGATGAAATCAAGATCCCGCCCGAGCCCCCTGGCAGGTGTTCGAACCACTTGCAAGTAAGTGCGGGGCTCAGCTGCCACAGCCCTTGTCAGGGGGGGAGGGCTGCTCAGGTGTCCGGTTTGGTCTGACTTAAAGAGCCTTCCGTAGAAGAAACAGCCAGGTCAGCGGGGGCCCGCACATCCTGGTCACCTCTCCTCGCCTGCGACAGGAGTTTGCTCTGCGCCCACCGCCAGCCCCCCACCATCACCTGGTGCTGTTCGAGCGGGGACCCCCTAGCTCGCCCTCCATGGGGTCCTAAGCCTGGACAGAGAAAATACCGTGACTTTCTGTGCGGCCCAGCTGAGCCAGGGGGCACTTGACTGAGAAATGGAGGAACCACGAGAATGGAAGACAGTTTGTAGAAATGCAAAAACACAGGCATTGATGTGCCTAAGGTTCTTGTCCTCCTCTCCTCACAGAGTCGCAGACAGTCCCGGCCTGGGGTTTTGAAACCGGGAGGAACTGGGGCAGTTAGTGCAGTCACTCCCTTGGGAGCAGGGCCTCGGGGGCAGCTGGGCCTTGTACCTCCTTTTCAGCGCCTGCAGTTGTTTCTGCTTGGCCCTTGGCGGGTTCCCGTGTGTGTGGAACCTCGTGATGGACACAAGAGCAGACACCCGGGGCTGCCCAACATGGGCACCCAGTCCCCCTGCTCTACCTTTGATCCCGTAGGTTCTGCTGGTTCCTCTGGCCACAGCACAGGCCCAGGGTGCCATCCTAACGGATGCATGACTAAGGGGCCCAGGAGCTGCGGAATGCAGCTGGCTGGGCAGGGCCCTCGTTGGGGCTGGGGGCACGACGCAGATCCTCTTCCTTTCCCAGAAGTCTCCTCCCTTGGCTGAGCTGTCCATGAGCACAGCACCCCGTCTCCCCACCAGGCAGCAAGCCGCAGCCTGTAAGGACAGTCCAGCAGTCTCTGCCACACAGACAGCCAGCTGGCTCAGCCCTCAAGTTCAGCGCATTTCTCATTTTTAGATCCTTCTAGTGGTAGAAACCATGACCTTCAATGAACACTTTAGTTGACCCGAAATGGGAGAACCCATCTGATGGCCCAGGAAACCCAGGAGAGTAATCTGTAAGATACAGGTTGGCCTCAGTGGGCCAAGCCTTCCGTGTGAGGCCTCCCTGGTTTGCCCTTGAAGAGAGAACGGGGAGGTGTGTCATTCTTGGTGGTCTCTGCCCTAGCAAATGCATTACAGACCTCTCTCTACACTTCAGTGCTTCCTCTGGCCAGTCTCGGCAGAAGGAGTCAGCCTTCTGACACAGGGAGTGGATCACCTCTCCTGATGTCCCCCAAGGGCGTCACACGGGACCTCCGGCCCTGCCCACCACCTCCTGCAGGTGAAGAGTGCCCCACATGTTTTCCTTCTGCAGAGTCTGTGCATTTAGCCGCCACTAGTGGGGGAGGCTGCACAGAGACCTTGCCCTGGGCCAGCACCAGCCTTGCTGGGTAAGACTGCTCCTTCTCGGAGGTGACTCTGCCCTGAGACCCGGGATTCTGGGGCCTCTTCCCACGCTGGGTGATGCGGCTGCCATCTGCTACCGGCCTCATCTCTCTGGGCCTTGAGACACCTGTGGGACTGGCCTGGCTCCCTGCCAGCTGGTTCTCCTGTTGCCCACTGAAAGCCAGAGGACGGGTCTGGGGGGGTGGGTAACTTTAATGAGACCGGCTCTTGACCCTGACAGTGCCTCTTAATAACGTCGTGGGGACTGGCCATCTGTGAGCCTGCCTACAAAGGATACTGTAGGAAGTTTGTGGGGCCAAATCCAAAAAACACTACTCCTTCCTTCCTCTGAAAGGATGTAGCCTTCCCAGGTCTCCCACTGAGGACTGAAGCCTATGTTAAAATTGAAAACCAGCATTGAGCCCCCCTGCCCATCTTCTTGGGGTGATTCAGGAGCTGACTGACAGTGGAGGAGTCCTCCATTGTCTTCTTCATGGTTTCTCTGCCTTGACCTTTTACTGCTCCCTCTGCCAGCCATCCAGAGGGAGTGAGGAGAAAGCAAAACGAAAACAGACTGGTCTTCGGTTTCTCTTACTTGTGCTCAGCCCTGGTCGCAGGCTGGGTGGAGAAAGACAATGTGACTGGAGTAGGTCTTCGCATGGCTCTGTGGGTCTCTGTGGCCCAAGTGTCCACCCAGCACATGTGACCACAGGCTGGGATTGCCATGGGTAGGTGGTGTCAGAAGTACCCTTCTGTTTCTCTTCTGTAGGACAAGATCCAGAAGCTTTATGAGCGGAAGATAAAAGAGGGAATGGATATGAACTACATTATCCAAAGGAAAAAAGAATTTCGGAACCCCAGGTGAGTTTTCCATGGGCCTGTAGGATCAGGTGAGTCACTGATGTCGGCCTGGAAACTGGAATGCCCCTGTGGAAGTGGCAGGGAGAGGCCTAGCTAAGATCGCCCCTGTGCCCACAGCGGCCACCACCCAGGCTGCAGTAACACAGAAACCAGGATGAAGAGTGGAAGCCAAGAGGCCTGAGCTGGGTTCTCCTCCTCACTCTGCTCCTAAGGCATACAGCCTCTCGAGGCCTCAGTCTCCTCATCTCTACAGTGGGGGAATTGGACTAGATAGTCCGTGTGGGTTCCTCTTCCCTTCCAAACTGTCACTGGTGCTGCACGCAGGTGACAGGATTTAGGTACAGAGATTTGTCCAGGTCTTACTCCATCCAGGGCCCCAAGCACATGGCACACATGGGAGTCTGATATAGTGACATCAGGGACCTGCCCCGCCCCGCCCCGCCCCACAAACTAGGTCAGATGTCTGGATAAGACCGAACACCTGGACACCGTACCTGTCCTGGCCCCTGGCTAATGAGCCATCTCTCTGGGCACGGGGAGGACTAGGAATGACTTCATGCCAGGCCAGGGGACATTTCCCCTTCTATCACGAAGCTTGCTCGGAACAGTTCAGCTGCGTTTAAAGGGGTCGTTTGAGCCCAAGAACCAGACGGTTCTGATCTCTCAGAATCTGCCGCACACACGGCGTGGGACCAGGGCTCGCTCAGTGCCTTCTGCTGTTCTTTCAGCATCTACGAGAAGCTGATCCAGTTCTGTGCAATTGACGAGCTGGGCACCAACTACCCAAAGGTATGCCCTGCGCGCAGAGGCGGCGGGTTGAGGGGGGCTGCCCAGGGCACTGCGCTCGCTCTGCTGGATTTGGCCTGGAGCCACTACGCAGGCCCGCGTAGCAGCAGTGCTGGCTGAAGAGCGCAGGCCCCGCTCCCTCGAGTGAGCCCCCCTGGCTCTAAAATAGTCCAGGAGAGCAATCACAGCGACAGACCTGGCCCTGGGACCCTGACTGGTTAGGGCCCAAGCGTGCACTCGCTGTGCTCCTGTGGCAAAGTCCACAGACGAAGGCCTCACTGCCTCATACTCCCAGGAGAAAATCGGTTACCCCGTGGCTGGACCAGGGATAACAGCTGAGCCCCTGTGCCCTTACGGCAGGGGCCTCCAGACTAGGAAAAATCCATGGAGGGACTTGGGTTTTTAAGCCATTTGTCATCCAACAACCCTTGCTGGCTACAGTGTTAGCTCTTTATTTTGCAGGATATGTTCGACCCCCACGGCTGGTCTGAGGACTCCTACTATGAGGCATTAGGTAGGTGGCCGTCCGTCCATCTGTCCTTCCGTCTGTTCGGTCAGCCTGCCAACATGTATTTCAGGGTCTCCCCTGTGTCAGGCCATGTCCGGGGCAGTGGGTATACAGCCTTGAATGGTACAGACCTGCTGTGACTTAGGAGGCTTACGACCTGGCACAGAAGGCAAAGAAGGAGCAGTCCCAGCAGTGACGGGTGTGGTGGGGGTGCAGGTAGGGCGCCCTAACCAGCTGAAGGGGGCCAGGGCAGAGGGGGTGGGATCGGCCTTGCCGAGGAAGTCCTATTCCAGCTGAGGTTCGAAGGTGCAGAGAGAGTGTCGCAGGCAGGGGGACAGCGTGTCCTGAGGCCAGTGGGAAAACATTTTCTCAAGGGTCCCCACAGGGAGAGCAGAGAGGAATTTCAGAGTCCGAGCCCTCTGCTGACAGGTCTTAACCCAGCAGCCCCTTGCCCAGATCTGGCCTGTAGGTGTGTTTGGTTTGGCCCATACAAGTTTTGTCCTGCTTTAATTTGAATGAGTTGCCAACATTGTACCTCAAGTTTGTAACCCGGCTTTTCTGGGTCAGCGGGTAGGTTGTCCACACGGGGCCTGCATCCCCACATGGCGACGACAGTCTGCTGGCGCTTAGGAGCAGCCGGCCCCTCCACACGAGGGTGCACAGCCCCAGCCCCTGAGCCTGCTGGTGTGAGGCCTCTGCTTGGTGCCAGCCGAGGACCGGCCCTTCCATTTGTCCATCGCAACAGGACAGTGAGCCCCATGGCCTGGAGGCTGGGTGTGCGCACTGAGCAAGAGTATGGGGCGTGGCAAGTGCGGGTGTAGGGGCCCTCGGCCTAAAGTGGCCCCTCACGCGGGAGCTGTTCCAGGGCTGCTTTTCTTAGATCTTCTGTTGTCTTTGTAGCTAAAGCCCAGAAGATTGAAATGGACAAATTGGAAAAGGCCAAAAAGGAACGAACCAAAGTAAGTGATGGATGAATGTCCTGGTGGTGGGAGGGGCAGGTGTGTGGACTGTCATTTCGCAGCCCCCACCGTCAGCTTGAAGGTACCTCTCAGTTGCTTCCATTTGGTTTCTTGGGGTCTGTGGACTGCCGCACTGCACCCTCCCTCTGTTCCCCTCACCACTGTGGCGCTCTGCTGGCTCTCGCTGCTGTCCCATGTCCTCCCCGGCCTGAGTAGAGTGACAGGTCTTCCTTCTGAGAGCAATTTCTCGGCCTCCAGGTCTGATCTCCACAGTCCGCCTCAGTGCCTCCTTGCAGGTCCTGCACCTGGTGGCCGGAGGACCCCTTATTTTAGGCCTCTGACCACCACTTCTTCCCAAGCAGCACGGTCTGGATCCTTTGGGGAACAAATTTGGCTCTGAGACTAAATGTGCTCGGGCCACTAGCTCTGCCTGCCTTTGCTCCGCTCTGACCTTCCAGCGGCAGCGGGGCCTCCAGGATGTGGCCCGACCCCACCCCCAACAAACCCCTAGCAGGGGCTGCATCCCGGGTGTGCCTGCGGCCCTCCAAGCAGCTGCTGGGCGATCAGGTTTTCTCATTCTTAGTGCTGGTGGAACGGTCCCTCTTCTTTCCCTCCCCGTTCCAAACCCCAGGCTTAGCGTGGGCCATGTCTGCAGCACACGGGGACCAAAGCTGTGCTGCTCCTGGGGCCGGGGGGCGGGGGGGGGGCACCTCCATCCGGAATGTGAGGCGGGGCAGCTGGTTGATGTGTCCCGCATGTACAGAATCCCAGTGATGCCCAGAGCGTTCCAGTGTCTGTCTGGAAGGCTCTCCTTGGGGCACCTGGGGGGCTCAGTCGGTGAAGCAGGTCGTAATCCTGCAGTCCTGGGATCAAGCCCCGTGTCGGGCTCCCGGCTCAGCGGGGAGCCTGCTTCTCCCTCTCTAGCTCCCCCTCCTTATGTGCACACGTGCGGGCACGCGCCCACGCTCTCTCGCTCTCTCAGATAAATAAATACTAAAAAAAAAAAGAAGACTCTCTTTTTACTACTTCTCTTGAAGTAGTAAAAGTAAATCTTTTTTCTTCCTCTTTTTCTGCCCCTCCCCACTCCTAAAAAATAATAAAAATAAAAGAGGTGCTTGGGTGGCTCAGTCAGTTAAGCATCCAACTCTTGGTTTGGGCTCAGGTCCTGATCTCAGGGTTGTGAGATCGAGCCCCAGGTCAACTCCATGCTGGGTGTGGCACCTGCTTGAGACTTTCTCTTCCCCCCTCTCCCCCACCCCAGCTTAAAAAAGAAAGGTAGTAAAAGTCTCCTCTGGGCACCTCTCCGACACCCGTCCCTCCCTTAGACGGTGCGACAGGACTGCTGCTCAGGGCCTCCTTTGTACGGTACCCATCTGTGCCCCGGGCACAGCTGCTGGCAGAAGGATGTGGATGAACAGTTGGCTGCCACCCTTACCTCTTTTCCGCTCTCCCTCCAGATCGAGTTTGTGACAGGCACCAAGAAAGGTACCACGACCAACGCCACGGCCACCACCACCACCACGGCCAGCACAGCGGTGGCAGGTAGAAGGGGGCTTGTTCGCTTCCAGCCACACCACGAATGGAGCGAGCGTCTCCCTGCCTTGTCTGGGGGAGGAGAGGCTGTGGGGATCTTGGGCCTAGGCTCCCACTTGCTGTGCTTTTTTCTGACCCCAGAGTTTGTTAAGGCCTGTTGGGAGCCTGGGGTGGGGTCCCCAGTCCACTGGCTGCTCTGGCATTTCTGTGGCAGGGGCCGCTCAACTCTGACCTGCTAGAAAAGGGAGTGTTGCTTTTCGGTTCGTCTGGGTCCTGACACCTCCCTCGCCTTATTGCAGATGCCCAGAAGAGGAAAAGCAAGTGGGACTCAGCCATTCCAGTGACGACGATAGCCCAGCCCACCATCCTCACCACCACGGCGACCCTGCCCGCCGTCGTCACGGTGACCACCAGCGCCAGCGGCTCCAAGACCACTGTGATCTCTGCAGTGGGCACCATTGTGAAAAAGGCCAAGCAGTGACCTGAGGGACCAGCTTGGAGTGGCTCGGACATTCTTCTTCCCGTTGATGGGAGGAGCCGCTCCGGGGCCCAAGGAGACTGTGTAGCACAGCGACCCACGTTAGCGCGGAGGAGCCGCTCTGTTTATTTCAGGACTGGGATCTGCTCCCAGATGCCACCCCAAGAGGAGCCTCTGTGTGGCTTTCCAGCCAGGGAAAGGACATTGCCACAGAGGAGTCGGGTGCTGTGGACTGTGTGGACACACCACTTGGGGCCCGGGGCCCTATTAAAAGTGCCGTGTTCTCCCAGCTCCGGCCTCTTGGCTGCACTGGCCTCTACTGTGGTCTGTTTTCAGGCAGAAGTGGGAGTTCCAAGTGCTCCCTCCATCTCTTGTCAGGGTCACTACCTCAGGGTTGGTAGTGGAGCGGCCGAAGCCTGTGGCCCTAGTCCCTGGGGGTGGCCTAGGAAGTTGGCGTGGTCACTCCCAGCGTACGCCTCTTGGCACAGGCAGATGGGAGCCCTGAGGGTAGGGGAGCCCCCCTGGTCCCGCTGTCCACTGCCCTGATCCTGAAACCCAGCCATTTCTCAGATGAGAGCCAAGGCCTCTCTTCCCTTGGGGGTGACTGAGCCCTCTCCCGACCAGTTTTTAGACACACCCAGGCTTTTGAAGTCAAGCCAGTTGCCAGAAGGCCTGGGTTTGATCCCCAGCCCACACACAGAGCCAGAGAGGCCTCAGCACCCGGCCACGGCGGCCCCGGTCCCTCAGTGCCCGGCGAGCGCGGCCAGCAGGCCCCGCGCGGTGTGGGACATGAATCACCTCCTGCCCCGGCCGGCGGCAGCTCGTTGTTTACGTGAAAGCCAGGCTCCTGGGAGGATCCTGCCACCCCACCTTTCCTGTGCCTGTTATCTCTGCCCCACAGCAGCGTCTGGGCAGCGCCAGCAGCCGCTGGGCTCCCCTTGAGGCCAAAACCGATTTCCCAGCCGCCGCCGGCTCCGGAGTCCAGAGGGAATTTGCTGCCTTTTTTGCTCCCTGGCAGCTCTCCAGGCCAGCGGAAGAGCTCCGTGTCGGAGGGGGAAGCCGGGCCGTGAAGAGCCGTGTAGCTTCTGGGGCACGGAGGGCTGGGAAGGCAGTCCCGAGAGCGCCCCGGTGCCTGCATCACCGGCCGAGGGTGCTGGTCCCACCCCACCGTCCCCGCAATTGGACTGGACCCGAGTGTGTCCCTGCTCCCGTGCCCCGCTCCACATACTCGGGCACTGAGAGCAGTCAGTCCCCCTCCCCGCCATTGATGGGACCTCACAACCCTGGCGAGGACCTGCTGCCCCCTTAGCCCCAAGGGGGTCTGTGAAGGCCGCCTGCCCTGCGGCCTCCACCGGAGGCCCCTCCGTAGCTCCGTGCGGCGCCGTGGGAGTGGCGGGAGACCGAGACTCCGCACTTCTGCTCTGGAGCCTGGTTTAAACAAGTCATGTTTTAGTCGTGTGTCTCGGGCCCTTGTCTCTGTGAGTCTTCTCTGTCAGATCCCCGTAATAAAGCTTCCTAAGGCAGTTGTGAGGAATCTGTGGAATGATTTATGCAAGAGCTGTGTAGACAATAAGGTACGACTTTGTTGCTGGCCCGTCAGGTTCCTTCTTCATTGAGACCAAGGAGAGAAGCAGACTCCACAGCTAAGATCAGCCATGGTCATGGCCCTTGGCTGTCCTCTGCACACCCCCTGCCCTGCCACTGAACAGTAAAGGCCACTAGCTCAATGAGGTGGGCAGCCCCACGTGGCCATGCTGTTCCCCTCAGAAGCCTTGAGTTGGGTCAAGCCCTCTAATCCCTCTGAACTTGATTTTACTCCTCTGTAAGACAGGATTAGTGCCTGCCCACCTTAGTGCCACTGAGGGTGGCGTGGGGTCGAATTACCAGTTCTTTTCTGTAGAGACCGGGTGTTGCAGGCGCTGGGGACCCAAGGGATTGCTGCCTGGTTGGCCCCTGCTCGAAAAGAACTCAGTCTGGACAAACCAAACTCTGTCCCAGCCCCCCAGGCATCCCTGCCCTCTTCTATATTCTGACCGTGGGTGATGACCTCAGGATCCGTCCCAGGCCAGCAGCTCCATACCCGGGATCCTGTGCTATCCCCACATCGCATGGGCCCCCTGGGAAGCCCCTGCCCCGTCACCAGCGTTCCTGCTTAGCTGTGGCTCACATCTCTCTCGTGGCAGACCTTGTCTGTAAGTTTCCTCAGCCTCCCCTACTCCCATCCAAGCTCCATCCAGCCTCCTCCTATACCCCCTCACAATGGGGCTCTCACCAGGTCACATGGCCCCCTGCTTTCCATCCAAGCAAGGCTGCCAACAGCCTCGCCACTCCCGGCCTCCCATTCCTCTTCTCCACGGCCCTTTCACCGTCCTCATCTGTGCACCTGCGGTGCTCCCAGACGTGGCTCGGGCTTTCCCTCCCAGACTCCCCTGCGCGTTCATCGCTCCCCGTACGCAGAGAAGGGGCCCTCTGCTCCCTGTACCTCTGCGTACATGCCTTGGTTCTGAGACCACTCGTGTCTCCTGGTTCTCCTTGAGTGGAGAGTGGTCAACCAGACCTCGGTCCAAGTGCCCAGGTGATTGGAGGGACGGGATGGAAGGAGAGGTGGTTCTTGCCCCCTTGGACACTGGACTGAAAGCTCCTGACCCTTGTACCCGCCCCCCGCCCCGACAGCCTCCTGTTGGAGATCTCTGCACGTTGGTAATTGTTGGGGTTCAGTCATGGGCACAGGAAGGTTCACGATCCCCTCTAATTTTGTGTATGTTTAAAATCTCTTGGGTCGCCTGGGTGGCTCAGACGGAGTCCTGGGATCGAATCCCACAACGGGCTCCCTGCTCAGCAGGGAGTCTGCTTCTCCCTCTCCCTCTGCTCTTCACCCCACTCTCCTACTCTCTCTCTCTCTCAAGTAAATATGTAAAATCTTTAAAAAATAAAATAAAATCTCCGTTAAAAAAAAATTAGGGGCGCATGAGTGGCTCAGTTGGTCGAGCATCTGACTCTTGGTTTCGGCTCAGGTCATGCTCTCAGGGGCGTGAGATGGAGCCCTGTATCAGTCTCCACGTCAGTGTGGAGTCGGCTTCAGATTCTCCCTCTCCCTCTGCTTCTCTCCCACCCCTCGAGTGCTCGCTCTCTCTCTCTCTCTCTCTCTCTCTCGTGCGCGCGCACGTGCGCGCTAAAATAAATAAATAAAATCTTAAAAAAAAAAATCAGGGGCACCTGGCTGGCTCAGTCAATAGAGCATGTGACTCCTTTTTTTTTTTTTTTTAATTTTATTTGTGTGACACAGAGGGAACACAAGCGGGGGTGGGGGGAGAAGCAGGCTTCTGGTTGAGCAGGTAGCCCAATGCAGGGCTCAATCCCAGGGCTCAATCCCAGGACCCTGGGATCATGATCTGAGCCAAAGGCAGATGTGCTGAACAATTGAGCCACCCAGGCGCTCCTGAGCATGTGATTCTTAATCTCAGGTCATAAGTTCAAACCCCACATTGGGCGTGGAGCCTACTTAAAAAAAAAAAAAAAAAGTTTTTTTAATTAAAAAAATAAAAAATAAAGGCCTGTCGAGCCAGAAAAAAGAATGAGGAAGATCTCCATGGACAGATTCAGAGTGATCTCGAGAGAGAAAATGAAAAGGGCAAGGTGCAGAAACAGCATGTAATATGAGGCCTTTTGTGAAGAAAGGGAGCGAACACAAAGATAAAAGAGGCAAAAGAATAAAATCTAAGAAATTAAGAAAATTCCCTAATATTAAATTTGAATCAGAAACATCAATACGAACTCATGATTCAAAAAAATTTCCTAGGGTGCCTAAGTGGCTCAGTGGGTTAAAGCCTCTGCCTTTGGCTCAGGTCATGATCCCAGGATCCTGGGATCGAGCCCCGCATCAGGCTCTCTGCTCAGCTGGGAGCCTGCTTCCCTCTCTCTCTCTGCCTGCCTCTCTGCCTACTTGTGATCAGTCAAAAAAATTTCCTAGCCATGTCCGTTGAGAGGACCCAGTGTGATGGCCCCCAGTAACAGTTAAGATTTTATTTATTTATTTATTTATTTGAGAGAGAGAGAGAGAGAGAGAGAGAGAACAAGCGAGAGCCTGAGCAGAGGGGAGAGGCAGAAGGGAGAGGGAGAAGCAGACTCCCCGCTGAGCAGTGAGCCCCGTGCTCCTTAGAGAAAGGAACCTTCCACCCCGAAAGCTAAGTGGGACTAGAGCGGGTTGTTCCAGAAAGCAAGGAAGACTAGCAGGAGTGTTTCAAAAGTCAATCAACCTGGTGTAAAGGCTCTCCCACCGGCCAAATGTGAGGAAAATCGAACATTCAGAAAGAATGCAGTTATTGTCAAAAAGGAAAAGAACCCTTGTTCTCTGTCCACTTCTACTCACAACACCCACAAAACACCTCTGACAGCAGACGTGTGGGCTTTCCACGCCATGTAATTCTGACACCAACGACCTGTAGTTTGTGAGAGCTTCGCCCCGCCCCCTCTCAAATGCTAATTGCAGGGCGGGGCCTCTGGTACTTGGGACCAACTGGCTATAAATTGGGGGTTCCCATGATCCGCTCCAAGACTCAGTAATTTGCTAGAATGCCTCACAGAACTCAGGAAAACAGTTTACTTCATGGATTACTGGTTTATAAAAGGATACAACCAAGGCAGAGCCAGACAGAAGAGAGGCATAGGGGCTCGGTACAGAGCCAGGGGCTTGGAGTTTCCATGCTTTCTCTGGACACAACACCCTCCCAGCAGGCCAGGTGTTCAGCAACCTCGAAACTCTCCGAACCCCCTTGGGTTGGGATTTTCATGACGGCTTCATTACTCCACATAATGGATTAAATCATTGACTATTGGTGATGGAACTCAATCTCCACCCCATCCCCTCTCTCCAGAGGTCCATGGGGGCAAGGGTAGGGGTGGGGGAGCGTAGAGGCCGAAAGTTCCAACTCTAATCACGTGGTTGGTTCCCCTGACAACCAGCACCCCCATCCTCCGTGGCTTTCCAAAAGTCACCTCATTAACATAAACTCTGTGGTGGTTGAAAGGGGCCTGTTATGAATAACAAAAGACATTCCTTTCACCTTTGCGGCTCCAGAACTGCTCCAGGAGCTGTGGACAATGACCAAGTATAGATCTCTTCTATCCCGTCGCCACTGTACACGACTGAACAAACAAAAAATTATTCACACAAAAAAAAGTTATTCGTGCATAGTATTTAAAAAAAAAGAAAAAAGGTATTGGCCGCCATGAGGGTAGAATATTATTCACTCTTTGCTCTGAAATTGATAGTTAAAAGAATTCGCCCTTTGGGCACTTTTGACAGGGTTATAAAATGGTGGGACCGCTCTGGAACATAGCATAGTGGTCCTCAAAAAATTAAACACGGGGCTACATGTGATCCATCAATCCCACTTTGGGGATAGATCCCAAAGAATTGAAAGTAGGGTGGAGAAGATTGATTCGCAGGGTAGCAGCATTATTCAAATTTCCAAGGGGTAGGAACAACCCAACACCCACTGACAGATAAATGGATAAACAAAACGTGGTATTTAGATACTAAGAAATATTATTCAACCTTAAAAGGCAGGAAATCTTGCCGCATGCAACATAGATGGACAGTATGATAAGTGGAAATAAGCCAATTACAAAAAGACAAATGCTGTACGATTCCACTTATATGAGGTTTCTAAAGAAGTCAAATTCATTGACACGAAAAACAGACACAAATTCATTGACGCAAACATAGAATGGTAGTGAACCAGGGGCTGGAGGAGGAAGAAATGGGGAGCTGGTTAATGGGTACAGAGTTTCAGTTCTCAAGATGAGAAGTTCTGGAGACACTGTGGCCCAATAATGCGAATATACTTAACCCTATTGAACTATACATTACAAATGACTAAGATGGTAATTTTTTTTAAAGATTTTATTTGTTTATTTGACAGAGATCACAAGCAGGCAGAGAGAGAGAGAGAGGAGGAAGCAGGCTCCCTGCTGAGCAGAGAACCTGATGTGGAGCTCGATCCCAGGACCCTGAGATCATGACCTGAAGGCAGAGGCTTTAACCCACTGAGCCACCCAGGCGCCCCTAAAAAATTTTTTTTAATTTTTTTTTTCTAACTTGTTTGAGGAAAGCATCAGCATCCTAGAAACTGACGGGAAAGCAAAGTTTTTTGGTAAACGCACTGACACCTGCGGCTGCTCCTAGAACCTACAGGTCCCTGACCTGAGGGGCAGCCACCAGCAGCGCTCCTGTCCTCCAGCCCCACCCTCCAGCCCCACCATCCCTGGGGCAAACTGACTGGCCGGTTCTCCTCCTCCTTAATGGGGTTGTGTGCAATTTGGAGTTTTTCATAAACCAGCACTCTTGATGGTATAGCCTTTAGTTGATGGGAGAGTTTTGTAGTAAGAAAACGAGGACCTCCCTTAAGTCGTTCCTGAACAGGTTTTTATGCCTAATTCCCAAAGTTTTACATATTTTCCTAGTTTATCACTTACTAAATTGTGAATAAGACTTTACCCCCTTTTACTATCCAACATTTTT